TTTCAGGGTGTCTTGCTACTGGGGTTCCTCAAGGCTCAGTGCTTGGACCACTTCTCTTCTCCATCTACATGTCATAATTAGGATCTCCTGTCTGAGAGACATTTCTAGCTGGATGAAGGACCATTACCTTCAACTCAACCTTGCTAAGACAGAACTGCTAGTGGTCTCAGCCAACCCAGCACTTCATCACACCCTCTCTATACAGCTGGGTTCGTCAACCATAATTCCTTCCAGGACAGCCAGGAACCTTGGAGTTGTGATCAATGATCAGTTAAGCTTCACAAACCATATTGCTACAACGGCCCGGTCCTGCAGATTTGCCTTATACAACATTAGGAAGATTAGACCCTTCCTACCAGAGCAAGCTGCACAACTCCTTGTCCAAGCTCTTGTTCTCTCCAGACTGGACTATTGTAATGCTCTCTTGGCGGGCCTTCCCGCATGTACTATCAAGCCTCTGCAACTGATCCAGAATGCAGAAGCGAGAGTGGTCTTTAACGAGCCGAAAAAAGCTCACATTACACATCTCTTCATCAGTTTACACTAGCTACCAGTAGCTGCTCGCATCAAATTCAAGGTACTGATGTTTGCCTACAAGACCACCACTGGCGCTGCACCAACTCTATTCCATTCTATTAAAAGAAGAAAAAAAAACCTAGCTATGTGTACTGTGCAAGACTAACTGAGACTTGTCACAGCACTTGCATACTGTTGCTCTCTTGTTCATCTGATTGCTTCTATTGTTCTCCTCATTTGTAAGTCGCTTTGGATAAAAGCGTCTGCTAAATAATTAAATGTAAATGTAAAATGTAAAATGCTTCAAGAGACCTACCTGAAAAAACTATGAGCAAGTGCACCTAGGGCAAAAGCCGCTTTAAACGCAAAGGACGATCACACCAAATGTTGATTTCATTTAGTTAATAGATAAAAGAAAATCTATTTATGACATTATTTTTGGCAGCATCCTCATTTTACAGCATTTTTACACAAGTGCCTACTGTAGCTTTGCAGGTAGGTCTCTTGAAGCATCTTGGAGATGTTGCCACAGTTTGTAAAATGCTTCAAGAGACCTACCTGCAAAGCTACCTGAAAAAACTATGAGCAAGTGCACCTAGGGCAAAAGCCGCTTTAAACGCAAAGGACGATCACACCAAATGTTGATTTCATTTAGTTAATAGATAAAAGAAAATCTATTTATGACATTATTTTTGGCAGCATCCTCATTTTACAGCATTTTTTTTTTACCTAAAATTTAGTCTGTCTCCGTTTGTTCTGTTTCTTCATGTCATTGCAGGCAGACTGCATGATGATCAGATCAGATCTCTGTGTGGAGCACTTGCTGTGTCAGACTCCTTGTGCAAACGAAAATCTCACTGATTACAATTAATGGCAAAATGAATGTTTGGAAATGCAAACTGATATTTCTTACTGACACACTACAGCAAAAGATAGAAATAACCGACTTAAAACCATTTTTAGCTGGTGAAAATACTAATACTAGGCCACCACTGTATGTAGATGTATATAAACAGGTCGCAAAGAATATAACACGGCCAGTGCAGCTTAGTACAATTACAATGTCATGTATGACTGGTGGACTGTATCGTAAAGACAGCAGTGGTGCTTTAGCTTCTGCAGTTCACAATTGACGCTTACACAGCTCTCTGCACACACACTTTCACCCCAGGCTCATGTAAACAGTACGTGCATGTGCGCTCTCACCTTGCAGAGCTGCTGGCCCTGCGACAACTCCTCGAACGGGAACCGCTGGTTACACTTGGTGCAGGCGTACAGGGCCGATGTGGCCATCACCAACCCCACAAACACACACTTACCGCTACTGATAAAATATAAATACACTTAACGCGCAGACGACCTTTAACACATACGTTAAGGTGAGACCTGAGCAGATTCAATGCCAATTAAAACTGCACTTAATCCCGATAAATAAAATGGATCCAACCATCTAAAACTGCTCTGCGAACACTACTATAAAAACATCAGTGGCTTAACCTCATGATTAAAAACTACATATAAACTGATATATCGCTATACGTGAAAAGAATGACTAAAAACCTGATTTCATTTCTCGGTTTTTCGGCTCCTGGTGAGAATTTCTGCTTTCTCCTTTTTGTATCTTAAGTCGACGCACGAACTGGATGCGCCCTGTGACTACAAAGGAAAGACTCAACAGCCAATCAGATGCCAGCGCCGATGGGCGGGAAGAACGGGTTTGAAAAATCAGCACCAATCAAAGAGCTCGTCCCGCCTCATTAAAAAGCTACGTATTGTTTTCTGTAACGTGTTTGTGATAGTGATGGGAAGTTCGGATCATTTGACCGACTCGGACCTTTAGTCTCGTTCAGCAAAATGAACGAATCTTTTTTCGAGTCATTTCGTTCATTTCGTTCATTTTAACAAAATATAATTAAAATGTTACGTGTTACTTCCCTAATATGTCTACTACTTACGCAAACGTTGATCACACTACAAACAATACAAAACTGCTATAAGAAACAGAAAAGATTAATTCATTGTTTACCTGAGTCTTCAGTCTATGATTAGCTCACCACCTCTTATCTGACAAGTCTTCGGGTTTGGGCTTATGGGGCTGTCACGTGATGAACGAACGACTCATAATATTACCGCCCTAATAGGCATTTTTAAAATGATATAATAAATGATCTGTGGAGTATTTTGAGCTGAAACTTCACAGACACATTCTGGGGACACCAGAGACTTATATTACATATTGTAAAAAGGGGCATAATATGTCTCCTTTAAAGCTCTGCCAGACCCCATCAATCAGAACATTCTCATTACTCATTAGTCTTTATTTGTTTTCATGAGGTAAGTGGCAGAAGTTCACTCATGGTTTTGTTGTTAGGTATGATGGATTTTAGTACATTTTAAAGAATGCTGCACTCACTTTCTATGCAGCGAAAAAAGTAGCTGTTGTTTCTGTTTGATCTTACAGAAAAGGAAAGCAGAGTCAGTCTCTTTGGCAACACAAGTGACCGCAGCGACTCCAGTGCCTTCACTTCCTGGTTCTGCGGAAGCGAGTCAGGCCTCTGTCTATCCAGCGATGAGAGATTCCTCTTTCAGCATTAAATCCAGAGACGAGCATGAACAACTCACCTCTCTCACCACAGTAAGAAATGACTGTATTTGAAACAATTCAAGAATAGTTTGTGTCTTCTTACGTAATATTTAATACAAATTATTGAATTTAAATTTAATAAATGTTAGGTATAAAGAAGTTTCTTTCTTTATCGCCTCTGCTTCTTCCTCCTGGAAGAATGGCATATCATCCATCCAGCGTCATCTCATTCCTCCTCAGCCTGGGAGAAAAAGAAAAAGTTGTGGAGGGACAGATGAGGTATGTCCTGCAGCTAAAAATGCTCATTCTCAAAAAAAAAAAAAATTTATCAAGATGATGGTGCTGTAAAATATTCAGCATCTGTTAAAAGTAGGATTGTGATGTTTTAGGGCACTTCTTTTCTGTATATTTTATGATGGTACTTTAATTTAACAATAGTACTATTGTTATAAGTGAAATACTGTGTTATACAAATTCTGTACAGTTACAGTGCCTTGCGAAAATATTCATACCCCTTCATTTTTTTCAGATTTTGTTAAGTTGCTGCCTTATGCTAAACTGCTTTAAATTACTTTTTTCCCACATCAATCTACACTCCATACACCATAATGGTAAAGCAAAAAACAGGTTTTTAACATCTTTGCAAATTTATTAAAAATAAAAAACTTAAATGATTCCATTGCATAAGTATTCATACCTATCTGGGACAGTTGAAATTTTGCTCAGGAGCATTCAAATTGCTTGTAGATGTTACTACACTTCGAGTGAAGTTAACCTGTGGCAAATTCAATTGAATGGGTATGATTTGGAAAGGCACACACGTCTTAATAAAAGGTCTAACAGCTGATAATGCATATCAGAGCAAAATGTTGTGAGCTTATGTTCGCTTTTTTAATTGCGTTGTGTTGTGCACTACTGGTCCACCGTACAGAACCTATAGGATGTTGCGCATGCGCGACTGAACGAATCACTCCCCGAGACGACTCGTTCTTCCCGAGTCACATTAAAGATTCGTTCAAAACGAACGAATCGTTCAAGAACGACCCAACACTAGTTTGTGATGTAAAGATCTCACCCTTTCTTGTGCATTCATTCTAGTGAAACTGGCAACAGTACGACTGTAAGGGGCTCCATTATGGCTCAGACAGTTCTCTGTAGACTCTAGAGCAAAACTAAACACAAAAGGTGACAGAACGGTAGAGTACCTAGTTGTAACCTAGAAATAATTTGAGTAATTGTATAATTAATTCGAATTACAGTGGTGATATTTACGGAATATTTAATATGATTACTAGTGATTTCCAGCAGCATAATCCCTTAAATTACTTAGAGTTGTAGATAGCACTGAAGATGAACAAGAAAAAAATAAAAGAATTTCAGCAGGCTTATGTCAGATTCCAATAAATACCAACAAAAATAGTTAAATAACACAATTATACACCTTTTTCATTAAAAAAAACCCCACAATTTTCATAAGCATTACGTTCTTGCCTAGTTAAAGGCACTCTGCTCATTGTGCATTAAGTATTGACTTTATTGGCTCTTACATGAACCAGATACATCTAAACAATTTGTAATAAGTGCCCCTTATATAATACTAAAACTAAACATAGAATATCTGTTATTTTTAATTTTCCTTACTTAATCTTTCAAATCGGACATTTGACAGTAAATAAGCATATAAGACCATACGTTTTAATAAAGATTTTCATCTAAATGTCGAATTTAGCTCATCAGCATTTTGATCGCAGCATTTTTTTTGGTAAATTACACAAACAAGGATTTAAATTACTATATAAATACTGTAGAAAGAAAAAAAAGATAGCCTGCCTTATTGCTAAAATAATTTTTATCAGTTATAGTTTGTGCGTCACTCAAGGCAAAATAAACGCGACTGGCGTTCTACTGATAAAAAAGATGGCGGATCATTCGGTGGGTAATGTATAGACGGTTGTTTTCTATGTGGTCTTGGTGGCGATTCAAATGAAATTTGTTCGGTCTGTGTTGGTCGATGTCATTTACAATTGCGTATATCCTCATAGGTTGAGATTACCGAGGGCTGTCGACTTCCCGTGCTGCGAAAAAATCAAGAACATGAAGACGAATGGCGTAAGTATCAGACTGACAGCTGCGTATATAATGTACACAATAACACTAGCAGCTCCTCTGCCTTACATGTCAGTGCTCATGTATACAAAAACAGCTACATGCGAATAGCAGTATAATACTATATATCTATATTTTTATATATATGTAGATATTTACGGATTTAACGGTTTGTTTGTCCAAAAGTAATTTATAATTTCGTCCCTTCGTAGCTTTGGCTGAAATTCTCAGTGTTAAAGACATTTCTGGAAAAAAGCTCTACTATGTCCACTATATTGACTGTGAGTATTAATTATTAGCTTTGGTCACTTACCTCGTTTTTTGCCTTCAGAGTGTGAATGATTCCATATTGAGCTTTTAGTTTCAATTTGTTGTTGTTTTTTTGGAAGTCAATAAGCGCCTGGATGAATGGGTTACTCCAGACCGACTGGATATTAAGAAGCTCCAATTTCCCAAGAAGGAGGCAAAGACTCCAATGAAGAATGGGCTGCCTGGGTCTCGCCCAAGCTCTCCAGAGAGAGACGTGGTAAGAGAATCTATTCTGTACCCTGTGGCTCTAGACGTAGAAACAACACTGCCCCACGTCAGTGGCAAAAATATACAGTATATCATACACAGCTGTTTTCAAATTTGCATGCTGTTCCGTCCGTTTATCATCTCTCACTTTCTGTTCAAATTTAGAAGAAGAGTCTAGATCTCCATGTTCAGTCTGCTTCAGCTACTTCAAGAGGCAAAACCCTCCCCACACCGGTACAGAAGATCCCTGCCCGTTCTTTTTTTGCCAGTCAATCTGTACAGAAAGAGTTTATGATGAACGAGCTGAATTAAAGACTAATTTGAATAAGCTCATTATATAACATAAGGCAGCAACATAACAAAATGTGAAAAAATGAATGGGGTATTATTACTTTCGCAAGTCACTGTATATTAACCAACACTGACCACTAGTAAGAGCTGAGTGAGAACTGGGTTCCAACCAAAACCAAATCATTAAAATGTTTTCCACTGAGATTTTGCTTTCTGCTCTTCTATGGCTTACCTTCCTCCATTAAAATTTCCCAAAGCTTTGCAACCCCTTGTGTTTTTCTAGATGGTAAAGATGTTCCAGAATAACAGCCCTCGCTGCTCTACCGTCTATTTGCTGCCAGGAGAGGTCCGGCTCATTTACTTCCCATTGCTTTTGCTTTGGTTTGAGTATCTTGTCAGAATGGAGGCTTAGGGTCGTGAAAGAATCAGATTCTAAACAGAATGGATTCTGTAAATCAAGTAATAGAATCCATTGCACTAAATACATAAATATATATTTTTGTAAAGAAATCAGGTAAACCTGACATGAAAAAAATCAAAATTTTAAAATATGAAGCACAGTCACTGTCTTCATGTATTGATGTTTCATACTATTCTCTCTGACTCTACTCTCTGGTCTCAGGACTCTCAGGACAGTTCAGATGGAATCCCATCTGCCCCGCGCATGACCGGTAGCTTGGTGTCCGACCGCAGTCATGATGACATTGTGACACGAATGAAGAACATAGACTGTATTGAGCTGGGCCGGCACAGACTGAAGCCTTGGTACTTCTCTCCATACCCACAGGAGCTCACCTCTCTGCCCATTCTCTACCTCTGTGAATTCTGCCTCAAATACCTCAAAAGCCTCAAATGTCTCCAAAGACACTTGGTAAGAGTAGTTAGACAACTGTAGGCTTAAGATGCAGTCACATTAGTGAAATTTTGCAGACATTTTTCATTGTCAATAGTGCAGCCGTGCATAAAGTACACCACACACTGAAGTCACATTCAGAGCAGCTTTCTGTTGGTCAGTGCGGTGAATTTGCATAACCAGCATTAACACCAGTGTAGTCTTGCTTGGGGCACATTTCTACCCTCATGTAAAATTCTTGATTGCACAGATTCCCATTGAAATTTTGCAGTGGGAAATGTGACCACATCTTTAAATAGCTGTTATAGTTACACATATTTTGTATATAATTGTATTACATTTAATATAATTATTACTCCTCCTGTAACTTTTACAGACAAAATGCAACCTTCGGCATCCACCAGGAAATGAGATATACCGCAAAGGAACCATCTCCTTTTTTGAAATAGATGGCAGAAAAAACAAGGTGTGTAATGAGAGGCAGATGACAAAATTAGAGTTTGGATTAGTGCTTTAACACAAATAATTCAAGAATGATGTTAAAGTGGCTAAACGTAATCCAGAATATTTAAATGTTGCTGTTTGGACACTTCCTTTAATAGGGTCCAGTGCATGTGTTGTACTGCATGTACTATACATCTTTTGTGGTCTCTTAAAGGTCTTTTAAATCTATTTTCAATCTTCTCTTTCACTGCACAGGCATATTCCCAAAATTTGTGTTTATTGGCCAAATGCTTCCTGGACCATAAGACCCTGTACTACGACACAGATCCTTTCCTTTTCTATGTTATGTCGGAGTATGACTCAAAGGGTTTCCATATAGTTGGCTACTTCTCAAAGGTATATTTTATCTCTGCTGGCATCTGTTTTTATGTTTTTTAATCCTTCAAACATTGCTTGTGCCGTATTTAAAATGAAAACCTCTTGGCTTCTTTGAAGCCACTGTATTAAATGTCTTTTTTCCTTGTTCATTAAAGGAGAAGGAATCAACAGAAGACTATAACGTGGCCTGTATCCTGACCTTGCCACCTTATCAGAGAAGAGGCTATGGCAAACTACTAATTGAGTTCAGTGAGTAATTTTACAGTTTTCATGACTTATCAAATTGCATTAGTCAAACAACATTTTTGCTCAATAATTTATGCCTCAAAGTTATTTAATGTGATTAGCCCTGAATGTTGTGGGCCTTGCCTAAAAAACACATCTTGTCTCCAAGGTTATGAGCTCTCAAAGGTGGAAGGAAAGACCGGCACCCCAGAGAAACCTCTGTCTGATTTGGGCCTGCTCTCGTACCGTTCATACTGGTCCCAGACCATTCTGGAGATACTCATGGACCTCAAATCAGAGAATGGAGAGCGGCCACAGATCACCATCAAGTATGTGCCCACTGTTTTTATTGTACTAAGGAAATACTTTGTAGGCAGTTTTCTAGCAGTGTTCTTGCCTTTGTTGTTTTTAGTGAAATTAGCGAGATCACAAGTGTCAAGAAAGAGGATGTGATATAGATCCCTGCCCGTTCTTTTTTTGCCAGTCAATCTGTACAGAAAGAGTTTATGATGAACGAGCTGAATTAAAGACTAATTTGAATAAGCTCATTATACACTTTTCAAAGTGTGAGGGATGCCGTTTTTGCCTCATCTCGATTTAAACTGCAGATAGCAGTACAATGTACATCTAAAATACTAGATACATTTTTAGTATTTATTACACGGGGAACTGAAAAAAGATGTTTTGTTACTCCTAAAGCAAATCTATTCGTTTTCTGTATGTTAAAGGTGACATATCATGAAAATCTGACTTTTCCAGGTTTTAAGTGTCCCCGGTGCATCTACCAACCAAGGAAACGTGATAAAGATTAACCCAGTAACTTTGTTTTGGTAAGCCTTTTTTTGCAAGCGTCTTGAGAAAACGAGCACGTCAGATTTCGCCTCCGTGGTGACGTGGCAAAGGGATCTCATTATAATATTACCGCCCTAATAGGCATTTTTAAAATGATATAATAAATGATCTGTGGAGTATTTTGAGCTGAAAGGCCACAGATCACCATCAAGTATGTGCCCACTGTTTGTATTGTACTAAGGAAATACTTTATAGGCACAGTTTTCTAGCAGTGTTCTTGCTTTTGATGCTCTTAGTGAAATTAGCGAGATCACAAGTGTCAAGAAAGAGGATGTGATATCAACTCTTCAATACCTCAACCTCATCAATTATTACAAGGTAAAAATAACACTTTCAATGAACACTTCTCAATTTAAGTTCTAAATCTGAATACTTTGGGGTAGAAAAATTAGTCATTAGTCGGATTTGCTCTTCTCCATTGCAGGGTCAATATATCCTCACCTTGTCTGAGGACATAGTGGAAGGTCACGAGCGTGCCATGCAGAAACGCCACCTCCGCATTGATCCCAAATGCTTGCATTTCACTCCTAAAGACTGGAGCAAGAGGGGCAAGTGGTGAGGTACAAAGGAGGGCCGCTAGCTCACAGATACAGACAGGAATTAAAACCAACATAAATAATGTAAATGGTCTTGTATTTATGTACTTTTATAGTTTTTATATAAAGCATTTGTCTAAAAATATCGAGCCACCTCAAAAATGTAACTAAATGTGATGTGTAAATAAACAGTCTGTTTGGGATTATTAACACGTTTTCTTAGTCACTAAAGATTAAAGATATAGGATTGCTTTATGCATTATCTGAAATATGTGATGGATTGCATGTATTTAATCTTTTAAATATTCAGTTACACATTGTGTCATGGATACTCAGACTGCAGCTTGACTACACAAAAACCAGCTCTAGCTCAATTATAACTAAACATCCCCACACGACTGAAACACGATCTATTGTCTAGATCCATATACTGCAGATCTTTTATTGCTGTGGACGACTCCCAATTGAATCAGGGTCAACACATTTTATTTGTCAATAATGTTAATGTATAAGCAAACGTTAGATTATAGAGCATATCTATAACATGATTACAGTGTCAATTTCAAGTAAAGACAGAAGCCTGTATGCAAAACCCAGAGGCTGAAAAACTGGCCTCAACTTCCCTCCGCATCAAGATGATGCAGGCAGAATCCCATTGACATCACAATACTTTGGTCATGTGATGCTCAGGCACAGAGTTCTACTACATACAGCTCATACAGTTCAAGCCCTAATATGCTACTAATATGTATTAGTGCTTTAATAGTCTTAATAAATGTATTAATATAATACTAGTATGAAACCGTTTTAGTGATTAAAAGCTTCTTCCATCCATCCAGCCAGCTGGTAGCACTGCAGCGAGGTGAATGTTAGTGTGTGAATTTACATCAGTTGTGTATCACTGCAAGTAACATGAGAACCGTGTGACATGCTCACGCGGTGTGTGTGGGCATCTACATTCCTTAAAGCCTAAACAAAGGTCTGCACAGGTGTGATGGAGCGTGTGGGAGACCCCGCCCTCTCGGAGGATGACGAGGCCGTACGATTGGCCGCCTCGCGCTGCAGCTCTTCCACCCTCTTCTGAAGCTCTGCCCGTTTTGCTAGCAGCTCTTTGTAGCGCTGATGGACAGGCTCCTAAAATAAATTTTTCATCAAACTGAGACTTTCAAACCAAACACAGACAGCACAAGCCATTTAAAAAAACCATTATAAGTCCTTAAAATGATAACTAAAATGTCTGACGTTTAAGTTGATGATTTACCCTGGGTAAACATAATTCTGGGTTATCTTGATTCACATTTCACATTGCTCATGTTTCACATGGGGTTAACAATTAATCCTGGGTATTCATAAATTGACACTGTACATTCCTAATCCCCAGGTTGACATCCTTATTTGCGGTGTCAATGGCATTGATTGGGACAAATGCAGTCCAATACTGTCAAGTTTTTCCTGAATGGATTTTCCTTATTCATTCACATTTTCTGTCACCATTTGATATTTTTCCTTTCAAATGCTGAAACTATGGTTTATGCACTGCATTTCCATGAATGTCCAAAAAGGGTTTCACAACTCCGGGTAAAAGTGGTGCTAAATTACCCTTTACCCGGGGTTAAATGCAGAGTTTAGAATGATAATAGCCTGGGGTTTAAGTGCAGTGTGAAAAGCCTGAATGAATTGTCTTTCAAATATCAGACAAATGTGAGCAAACTTTACCTAGCAGTACCTACACATCCATTAAAACCTGAAGTGTACCTGTGGTCGCATGCGAGGATTCCAGCGTATGTAGTAGGTGACCCAGAGCTGGAGGTGTCGTATACCAACGGTGGGGAAGAGCACATGGGAGGGATAATGTACGTACAGGGGATTCACAAACTCTTCTAGCTGACTGTTCACAAACGACCATAGAGACACAGTGCGCTTCGGGACTTCCTAAACACAAAACAGACAGTCTCTTAGACCCACACACACTCATACGCAGCTTATAAATAAACACAAGTCTCACACAAACAATGACAACGGATAATTTACTGTAAGTTGCTTTGGATAAAAGCATCTGCCAAATTACATCATGATCCATTAGAGACTAACTGTCATATTCCTACTCTGTAAATGAGATGCATCTAAAGTGTGCAAACAATATTCCCAATGCCATTCTCACTCTTACCTCTTTAAGTCTTTGCTGCTCACTGTTACACAGAAATGTGCCAAAGAGGCAACTGTAGAGGTGATCCAGTATTGTTATGAGGAAATACTCATTGAACTCGAAAGCTGCAGGAAACTACAAACACAAATACCTATTACTCATACAGACACAGACCACAGAACATACTGCAGACATAGGCAGGTGCTGCTCTGGAAACTCGGGGGTGTTTTGCACTCACCTGTCTCGTCATCTGCCAAACACAATCTATGAACTGCAGGAAGATTGGTGAGCGATCAGCATCTGTGTGATTCCTATCACCATGGCCCACTCGCTGTATACACAAAATATAATAATGTTCAAAAGTATGGGGTCAGTAAGATTTTTTTTACAATTTGAAAGTAGTCTCTTATGTTCACAAAGGCTACATTTATTTTGATCAAACATACAATAAAAACAACTACTGTGAAATATTATAAAAATGTATAATAACTGTTTTGTATTTTTAATATATGTTAAAATATAATTTATTCCTGTGATGGCAATTTTTTGCAGCCATTACTCCAGTGCCACATGATCCTTCAGAAATCATGTTGATTTGAGGGACAAGTAACATATCTAATGATTAGCAATGTTGAAAATAATTGTACTACTTAATATCTGAGAAAATGTGTACATTTTTTAGGATTCTTTCATGAATGTAAAGTTGAAAAGAACAGCATTCATTTGAAACAGAAATCAGTAACTTTATAAATGCCTTCACTGTAAATTTTGATCAATTTGATGCATCCCTCCTGAATAAAAGTATTAATTTCTTTACAGAAAAAAATCTTACTGACCCTACATTTCTGAAGGGTAGTGCACGTTGTTTTTGTATTTTTTTTTAAATGGTCAAAAGTTAAGTATATTATATATTTTATAGAACTAAAAAAAAAAATTTACACAAGATATTACAATGAAAATGTAATTTCCGATAGAAAGGCTAAATTTGGTTTCTGGAGTAGCTTGTGCAGCACATAAAACAAGGAAATTGGCCATATGTCAATATAATGGTATGTGCCCATTTACCAGTGCACTTGTATAGGACACTATGAAGCAGTCATTATATAGGAAATAGTGAGCGAGTTAACAAGTGAGCAATTTGTGTTACAGGAAACCTATTATTCTCTCACGGTCTTGCTTGTTGCTGTATCATGTAAACTACAACTGGACCCCTGACCTGTTGGAAGCGGTGACCGAAGCTGAGCCACTCTTTCTCCAGCAGTATCTGAAAGCCTCGTATGGTTCTGTAGTGAGAGTCCAGCATTATCAAGGCCAGTGAGGTCAGCTGAGGAGTTCTGTCCCAGCCGTCACTGCAATGAACCACCACTGAGGTTTTCCCAGACTCCACCTTATCGGCTATCCTTAAAGCTCCAGCCAGAATCAACTATCACACATACACACACCACACAGTCAGTGCCACATTCATCATCCTCATGTTTCTTAACATTTGAGAAAGGTGATTAACGTAATCACTCTCGTCTCACCTTAATATGCTCCAGCCAGTGGGTGGACTCGAGATTGGAAAGCCAGTGAGATTCCTCAATGTTGGGATAGACAACCTCCTTCAGTTTCCGTAGCGACTCACGCATTACATGAATGTTGTGGATATCCAGAAACACCAGTTCAGCATTCTGATAAGCATCTTCACTCTCATACCCACCTCCTTTCATCTAAAATACACATGAACACAGGCTTTAAAAATTTCCTTTCATTCAAAATGCACTTGAACTGAAAGTGAGTGCCTACCTTGTTAGCTGCAGCATTCACACTTGGTCTGGCGTCGAATATGAACAGTTTGTGTGATTGAGCGTTTGCGTCCATAATGGCCTGAAGGAGCTTCTCATCTTCTTTGCAGCGGCGACCGTTCTGGCCCACCATCGGTTGACTGGCACGCACCACTGCGGCCTGACTCTCTGGGTGGATCCATGACAGCACCTAAAACAGGGCAAGCCAATAGCTTCAGTGGTGAGGCCCGGGGACGAATAATTGTGCACACACAGACTGACGTGTGATGATTCAGAAACATCTCATGACACTGACCGGAATGCGTCCTTTGGCCCTAAAGCTGAAGACGCGTCGCAGTTCCTCATCAGTAATGGTTACTGGGACAAATAGCGCTGCTGGGTATGAATCACACAGCTCGTAGTGATCATTTACTTTGGAGATCCTCCAGCTCTCGTTTGGAAGACCCTACACACACATACACACGTGTATTTAAAACACGACGCACAAATACTTGATTCTCATTGGTTAATCACAGCATTATGCATAAAATATTATTTGCATAATGATGATATAAACTATATAAATGATTGTTTGCATTTCAGATTTTATTTCTTTATTTTCATGTATTAATTTGGCAAGTACCTGTGATACATGGGATAATGAGCACTGTCATTATTGCAAAACAAACCCCTTCAGGGTGATACAAGCCAACTATGCTTTACATTAGAGTCCTAATCACTCTAAAGGGATTTATTTTGCAATAAATATTGGATGAATATATATATATATATATATATATTACCACCCTGAATAAACACAGACTGTACCTGTCTCTTGTATTCAGCCAGTGGATCATATACCTTCCATCCATTCTCAGGAAACACCTGCTTATACTCAAATGCAAAGAGGGACTAGACAAAGAGAAAGGAAGGAGACAGACAGAGATACTAATTCATTTTAGGCTGGTGCTGAATCAGTTTAATTTAGTATATAAATCATATTATATGCTGTATTAATATATACTCTCTGTTTATTTATGTTTCTCACCATGTTGTTTGACACTGGAAAAGCAAACTTTATCAGAACCTCGAACACGGACTTCTTTAGTGAGTCCTCAGGCTCCTTGTGCACAAAACGTAGATTCCTCATATCCTACAAGACATACACATTAAGCAAATATGCAAAAAAAAAAAAAAAGATCCATCAGGATTCAATAGTCAGGGTTTTTTCAGCTGCCAGTTTAATGTCCTGCAAATATTTTCAAT